CTTTTATTCTTGTACATATATCTTCTTTTTGTAATTAGCTTTCATTGTTTCATGAATTTATATATAGTTCGTATTATTTTCTTATTCTTATTTGACTTGATAGTGACGTTACGTAAACGTCGAAACGTCGTCTTTTATTAAAATGTATGTTCAATATATGGTTTTTTATCGTTGAATTTCCTAGTTAAATGTTTTAGTAAGTTGCTACTTATGCACAATTTATACGAATTACAATTTATATTTAGTGTATTACTACCAAATCTAGAGTACGTGTCAACAAAACTCGGAAGTCACAAATTGGGCTTAATTTTCTCACATATCTCAAGAAATAAGCTTTTGAAACAAATTTTGTTACGATGTACTTGGTATTATCAACAAACTATACATTTTAAGCGATAATTTTTTTTCGTGTCATATACACTTTAAATATTAATGCTACTTACTTCTTTATCATAAACATTCTTGAATTACATCATTTTAGACAAAGCGACCAGTCAGTAAGTTCAATTTTGTGATGCTGTTGCTATTGATCCTGGATTTTTAATCGCGGGCAATTTTTCTTTTTCTTTTTTATTATTTTTGACAGTACTGGGTATCAAGACGGGTTGTACTCGTTAATCATTAATGAGCACAGAAGGCTCATTTGAATTGATGGTTTTCAACCTTTCCCAAGAGAATTAAATAACAAAAGACACGGCGGCCATGTTGGAGGATATAACAAAAGAATTCATTGACAATTCTTTTGTTAAGTTCCTCCAACATGGCCGCCATGAAAACCATCAATAGTTTTCGTATTATTTTGCATGTGTTTTTATTTTCCATTTCATAAATCGAAGTCCGGCCGCACTACTTACAATCTAAACCTGTTAACTTATACATGAATATAAAACGTTATCGATCGTGTCATGATATAATAATATTTTTTAAGATGTTAGAGTTACGAGCGACTTTCAGCTTGAAGAGAGAAGTCCTTTTTTATCTGATATTTGAATACACTGCTACTAATCTGTATAGGTCTTTCTTTAATCTATGCTCACCTCTGGTGGGGGTCGCGGTATAAAGCTGAAACTGAAACGGCTGAAACATTTGAAAGCGCTGAAACAGCTGAAAATCATAAAAGTCTAAACATTTTATGAATTCAAACCGAAACGTATAAATTATAAATGTGTATATAAATATATAAATTGAGTACAATTCAAATCAATTAAATTTAATTCAATGTTTTACCGCTAAGTGCTGACATGACCACGAAGGTCAATGCATTCTCTTTAATGTCTACCGAACCGGCCCTTCACAAAAACTACACTCCAAACTACTAAACTCTTACTACTTTTTACCCCTTACCCGAAAGAGATGGTAGAGACAGTCCTTTCGGGACAGGGGACACCATAGGCCAATGCCGGACGTGTGTGTTGGAGTGATGCAGTTAAAGTCTGCCAGTTTCTCAGTGGCCACTTGGTGGATGGGATACCCATAACAAAAAGGAATGGCAGTTTGTGAAAAGCAATTTTCCTAGTAAATCATTGTGTTAGAAGGGCTCGGAATCCCCCCCCGGGTCGGAATCTCCGGAATCTCTCAAATGCATCTTGTTGGGTTACCACGGTTACCAGTCTTTATTTGACTTGTGCTCACGATTTGTGCAAGAAATCTTTTGCTGCAAGCCAAGGTGAAGAAAGCCAACAGTAAAGGTTTTTCTAAGTAAGTGTGGTTGATTCAGAGGCAATTCCTTAGAACACATGCAGTAAAACCATGAAATAAAATCAAAATTGATACTGACAAACACTACTATTGAGTGACTAATAATTGATGAGTTGCAAGCATTCCCAAGAGAGTCAAAAGACAAAAACATGGCGGCCATTGTGGTGCCGATGGATGCTAATGAGAAATCTTTTGTTAAATGACACCAAAATGGCCGCGATGACGTAAACTTACAATCAAAGAATAGTTGAAATGATTTGCAATGATAAAATATAGATAAACCTCAAACAAAGAATATTATTCTCAAGAGAATGACACGTGGTGTGAAATGGGTTACGCCCAAGGTAAAGGTTTATTACAGTACAAAGTCACTCTCCACTCGCATGAGAAGACACATTAATATGGATAAACCTCAAACAAAGAACATATGCTCAAGAGAATGACACATGAAACTTATGTAAAAACATTACGATCAAACTAGAATATTTGTACAAGGGTAGTGAGCAAAAAAAATTTACATTTTAAAATCTTTGTCTACTCTTATTTAATCTATATAGTTTTGCTTCACTTCGTTACATGTTTCTCGTTTTCCTAACATCTATATCGAGACTCTTTTTTACAGGTGCTTCATGTATCGCTGCATGTAGATATAGGCCCTGGCTAAACGAGGAAACGTGTTTACTGCGCGCATGTTTCCCCGATGTTTCCAAGTCTAGCCACATGCGAAACATTGCATTTGCTGCGTGCAACAACTTTGCTTCCAAGACGCAAAAATGTTTCTCCTGTGCGCAAGAAACATTTCATGCTTCACATCCAATACGCATGGAAACAATGTTTCCCGATGTTTCCTCGTTTAGTTACGAAAGTCAGCATTCTAAAAATTCTTTGCTTAGTAACGCTCGCTTTATCATGATCTTGTCAAAACAAAATGGCGGACGAGAAGGTCAAAGGTTATTTGAAAGTGCGCATGCGCTAACTGCATGATGTTGACTAAAAATGTTTCCCGATGCTTCCTTACAGTTTTGCCACCTTTGGAAACATTTAAGGAAACATGTTTCTGGAAACAGGTTTTATTCGTTTAGCCAAGGCCCTCAAAGTAAAATAACATGCAGGACTAGTAGAAATTTACTCTCTTGCTTTAAGTCATATTTACAGAGTTCCTACTGATATTGTAGAGCCGTTTTAGCGGGGTTCCAAAACGAAAAGCCATCCAAGACAGGATTTTTTGTTGTCCAAAGTTCTAAATGGACTAACTAGACTACTTATTTGACGTTACGACGGCCATGATGACGGGAAAATATACATTAGAGTTTCGTGTGTTTGTCTTTCTTTTATGAGTAAAGGTGATCGATGTGCCGTCTTAATTTATCTTTTGTTGTATTCTCTCGTAGTAAGCTGTTAATATCAATATCTTGTCATCACTGTAACAAAGCTTTATTTGCCCCTTGGACGCCCCATAATGCTTTTCGATCCAAGATGACCACCGTATCGTCAAAGTAGTCCATTGGTCCATGTGAAGGATACTCAGATTATTTTAAATGATTTTCGCTTTATTTTAGCAGTTTTTGTGAACAGTTCGACCCCGGGAAAATACGTCACAAAACAAAAAAAGTCCTATTCTTTAGCTTCGTCGATTTTGTTCTTTTCGCATGGAGAGCTTTTCAGATACGAGAAAAAGACCGACTTGTAGTAAGGATCCATGGTTCCATATATGATGGGGTTGATCGCTGATCCAATCACACCGATCCCAGACGAGCAAGCATGAAGGTTGAAGTAGATCTCCGAGTACTTTCCGAAGATTCCCGCCAGCTGAACAAAGAGGAATGGGGTCCAACAAGCTGTGTACACGCAGGCAAGCCAGAAGCACATCTTGGTCACGTGACGTTCATCGGCCGAAGCATTGACACCGCTGTTGTTGAGGGACTGGAGAAACAAAGGAGGGAATAAAAAAAACAACAAAATAATAGCTTTAGGTAGGTTTGTATGACTTAGAACAACCGACTATCATCTTCAGCAATATTATGCTGCGTTTGCACCAGTTCACTACCAAAACCAAGCTAAGAGAATTTCAATATCACGAGCGCAGTGTTTTCTCTGGTCAGAAAAAGCCGTAAGGTATTATGGGTATGCGAAAGTAGAGAAAGGTTTTATGGCAGCCATGTTGTAGGGCTGAAGAAATGAGAGATTTTTGCATTTAAAGAGATTTTAATTCCCAAACGAAAAAATTTTGCTTGTTTTGCCCCGGTTCTAATATGGCTCAAGTGCCGTATCTGTTGTAGAAATATACTTTACCTTGTAGATCTTGCAGTAGATGGAGATGGTAACGAAAATCGAGACACCATACAGTGCGGAAGAATATCCCAAGAAGTAAATGGTAAAGGCATCAATCTCGGTGTTGATCAGAAGACAGCGATAGAATTTTGGTTCCAATGTGTCACTCAGAAAAATGCTCCAGGCCACTCCAACCAGTCCCAGGGACACGACGGCACAGGCAACCCAAAACCAAAAAGTCAAAATCTTTGCTTGCTTGAAGGAGAGTTTTGGTTCACGTGGATTGATCATGACATCCTTGCGATGGAAGGCAAGAAGAGGGAAGACTGCATACATCATGGAGATAGAAAGCATGGAAATGAAGATCGAGCCTTCGCATATGGGAGTCTTAGCAACGAGCATGGCGGAAGCGTTGCTACGGTAGACGAGGAGGATGGGAGTAAAAAGGGCGCAGAGAATAAGATCTGCCATGGCGAGGTTGGTGATCAGAAGATGGTAGACATTACGAGTTTTCTTGTCTTTTTGGTAAGCGCGGATGATGATACCATTACCAATGGATCCCACGATGATAGTGAAGACGTAGAGAGGCAACACGAAGGCTGTTGTTTCGGAGTATTGCTGATAAATAGCAGTTCCAGGCATTTTTGTGGGTGTTGCAGTAGATAGCTTTAAAGACGAGTTGTTCATTTAATGGCCGCGTTACTGCGTCTCGCGGAACGTATCTCGGATTCGGGTCAGTGCGCTATTCTATAAACGAGACAAAGCAAATTATGCATTATGAATTTAAAATTTACTAAATAGTAAACGCTTGTGTTGGCCGAGACAAAAATGATTATTCAGTGTGATATTAAGGACATTTGAGTTGTCGTTCTTGTAGGAACCAGCGGCTCAGCGTTCAAAAGCATGTAGCTTTTTCATACATCAATAATCAGTCTCTAGCCTTGGTAGAGTTAAGCGTTGACCACGGCGTTGACTACAGCATTGACTAATAATTAATTTACTCCGGGTTAGCCTAATTCCATCAACGGTAAAGTAAAAAAACACCAACCGTAAAGTAAAAAATTTACAAATTAAAAATACAAACACTGAACAGGGAGCGAACAAAATTGAGCCTAATCCTGCGTAAATGAATCTGTAATCATGGAACAACGATGCGGTATTTAACAAATTTAATTCGACAATGCTCTAATTACGAAATAATTCGTCGAAAAAATCAGCTGGATATTGATAACTGGAAAAACGAGTTATTGGACAGATTTGCGAATCTGCATCTTGGAATAGTTGGTACTACTGTGTCAATGGAAATTATAAGAGAAAAATTGAACGAAAGAAATGAATAAATAAACAACGAAAGAAAGAAAAAAGAGAAGAGAAAGAAAGAGGAGAAAGAAAAAAGGAAATAGAAAGGGAAGAAGGAAAAGAATAATATAAAAGAAAGCCAAGAAAAGAAAAAAATAATTGATGAACGAAGAAAGAGAGGGGAAAAAAACGAAAGAAAAGCCATTAAGAAGGCAAATAGAATATCGCACTGTCTATCTTAATTGGAATCACTTCTCGACTACTATGGACAACTCACACAAATATGGCTATAAAATTCGATCTAACATTTAGGGCGATAAACAAGCATCCTGGTCAATCTTTGCTATTAAGCTTAACGAGCTGCCTCGGCCAATAAGCAGCTGTGTTTTGTGCATGAGTCCTTTTAGCGTAGATTTTCCATAATGAGGCGCCTTAGGACATGTTTTAAGCGGAATGTTTAATTGTAAAAAAATTCGAATTCATTTTAATTCAAAAAACTAAATACGTGACATGTGAGATAGACACACTCGGCGAAAATGTTCAGGAAAACTTCGCTTAGTTTCAAATTAGAGACCATTGTTTTTCAGTGGACAAAGTTCTTTAGTGTTAGACTCTGAGATTCACTGATATTCCCTTCGAAGCTTGATCTAGATTTTTAATAGGGTAGGTTTAATATTGGTTGATTTGTCCTTGACTAAAAAATCCGTAAATTCGTTAGCCGCAATCTATGGTCATCGCTATTGCTCCTGCCATTTTAGGCATTGCGTTGACATGCTTTATTTGATTCCATACTGTGAGGTATTCTATGAAGTTGTGTCTTTGTCTTGAATAGCTTATCATTTGAACAAAAACATTCTACATTGGATTTTAAGATTGAATAAGTGAACCACCTTTAGAGTTGATGAACCAAGATATCTATGACAAACAATATGGAAAAAAAAGAAAAACAATACCTATATGACTAGTGAAATTAATTAATATACGGACACAAGCAATAAAAAAGATTGATCGAAAGATAAAATGCGCTATCTTTATGTGAAAATTAAAAACAAATTGCAGACTTAAAGCTAGGGTCGATTCGGGAACCCGCGGTTTTATCTCGTTAGTAAAATCTATGATCTTGGCATATTGTTTTACCGATTTATTTTATACAATAACTTGAAATTCAGACTAGTTTAGTTCAAAACCTAATAGTCCATATCCTTATTTCGATCTCAAATGAGAAATCTATACGGTATTCTAAATCAAGCCCTTTTCCCCGACTTTAACTCTTAGTCCCGTCTCTAAACCAAAAAAACAAAACAAAACAAAAAAAAAACCGCTAATGGGAATTCAGCTTTTTTATCCAAAAATACCAACAATATTAGAAATGCTTTTCTCGCTTTGAAAAAAAAAACCCACAGGAGAACATTTTAGACCGACTGAATACAACATACCAGTGAAAAGGACCAAACGTGTTTGATAATGTTCTAACCAAGAAGGTTGAAGGTCTTGCTGGCAACTGTCACAGGTGAAGTGCGAGTGAAGGAAAAAAAATCAACCGGATGAAGTAGATATTTTATGCGTGTGCGCATGTATAGTAGCAACGATACCGCAGGCAATTGTAAGACAAGGCGGTAGAGGATTATTTTGTTTATGCTGTTATCTCTAAGTGCTCTTAAATAAACTCTGAGGCCCCGTCCAACACGTATCCGGATATTTTTGAAACATTTTTTTGAAAACGGAACAAAAATAATCCATTTTCAATAATATTCAGCGATATTGATTCACCAAGGCCGCGACCTGGGTTTGATTTTCGCGTCTTATATGAATAGAGTTGCTTGGTGATTCTCCCGTGCACCGAAAGTTTTTCTCTCTCCTAAAAAACCCCAAATGGTAATCCCAAATGGCATCCGGCAGTGGAAGAAAAACCACTCTGTGTTACACCTGTTAATTTCCGGGTTTTTTCCTTCACTTATTCGTATGAATCTGATGAACCTTCAGAGCTATTATTTAACGAGTTGTTTTAAAACTGCTAATTTTTGACAGGAATTTTGAGACCTCAAATTAATTCTGCAAGCCTGATGACGTAGGCTTGATCAGTCACTCAGTCGTGCATACAATAACCGTGGATCAGCCTAGACAGGCCAAGAGCTTTCGGAAAAAGGAACAAAAAAGGAACAAAGATAAAATTTGCAAGATTGGAACGACTATCATAAAGCCCCGTTTACACTGGCGATTTTTGCGGCGATTTATGCGGCGATTTTTGTGGCAATTTTCGGAAATATATAATCTTTTGTCTCATCCTTCAAAAGAGACATTCGTCTAGGGAAAATCTTGGTATCCTGGATAAAACTTTACAAGTAAATTCTTTACCATTATTCATTATCGACAAAATCGCAAAACAATCGCAGCAAAAATCGCTGCAAAAATCGCTAGTGTAAGCTCGGGGCTTAAGATAGACCAAGATCAGTCATCAGTTTTTCTTCTAATTAATGTTAATTCATTAAGGCAGCCTGAAAAGATTTCGAAATTCTGAGTTCTGAAAATGGAAATATGTAATGTTTCAAATACTCGTCACTGTATTCTATTGGGGTTTCAAAATCCGGGTGGAATTTCAAATTTGAAATTCCACGAGAATTTTGTTGAAACCCTAATAGGATACAGTGACGAGTATTTGACACGACATCTTATACCCTTTTTGTTTGTTTGTCTTTATTTCAAAGTTCTAGTACTTTGAAATATTTCAAAGTCCTACTACTCGGACTTTGAAATATTTCAAAGTACTAGAACTTTGAAATGGGTGTGGACGTACTTGATGCGGGGGGTCTCAAACTACTGCATGGTTGGTCGATGAGCTCATGAATGATTAATGGTATAAGATTATAACATATAAACGACAACAAAAAATAAATAAATAAATAAATAAAACAACAAAAATAACGAATACATAACAAAACAGCAAAAGGATAATAATATATAAACGTGGAATATCTAATTGATATCAAAAAGATTTCTTAAGACTGAAATGAGAAATGTGCTGATTTTCCGAATCTTGATAAGTAGTAGAAGAGAAAACAAATTGCAGATTTTTGAATTGTTTTGGTTCTTCTACGTAGAGATTTTTATCGCTAAAATAGCAGATTACTACCTGATTGCGTTCTTTCTGGCAGCTGTTTGATGGTACTAAGTTTTCTCGCCCTCTGATTGGTTCATAGTGAAAACCATTAGAGTGCATTCAGTCAAACTGTTGAATAGTTAGATAAATTTATCTAACTTAGATAACTATTTAGTTGACGTCACCTAAAATAGTAAAAGCGCGCCAAATAACGATCATGCAAATGCGGGGAATTGTTTTACCAGAGAATGAGTGAATAGACATTCATTTCGTAGTTTCAAATTTATGTGAGGTCAGCTAAAATAGTAACTAACTTATCTAATTTAGGTGACGTCAGCTAAACAACAGTTTGACTGAATGCACCCTACGAAGGCAGGCATTTACTCAAACTATAAAACGAATAGCAATTGCTACTGAAAAGCGTTTATCTTCTATGGTACTGGTTCGTTAAGTTTTCTCGCCCTCTGATTGGCTCACTATAGGGGTAGGGCTAGGGCTAGGGCTACAAAGTCGAACGATAAAACAAATAGCTTTTTCCATATTTTTAGCTTTTTGATTGGTAACAGAAAGATCTTTGATCAAGTTCTTTATTTATTTCCGTCATTCTTATGGCAAGTTTATTGCAAGTTCTTCACAAACGGCGAAAATGGCCAGCTGGAAACTTAAAATTTCTTGCTTTTTTAGAATTACCTTTCAAACCGCCTCAAGCTTTACTTAGCTTGAGACTTTCAATACAAATTTCAAATTTTGAAAATCCTTAAAACGGGCTAAATTCAAATAATAACCACACAGAGCGAAAGAAGTGCTATTTGTCAATGATCGGGTAAAATTTCGAGGCTTTATTTCACGTTCCAATTATGTTATTGAAATTTTTGAAGAATCCCCATACATTGCCTCATAGCATGACACCACAGAAACCAAGCTTGGGCTACCTGTGTTTAAATTCTAAAAAGCTGCCATTTTGTTGCCACGAAAGGGGGGAGCAATGGCCCTCCTGCCTACGCCCTTGTATTTCTCTATTCTCGCTTCATAAAACTATTAATTATAAGATCCATAAGTGACTGGGCTTTAAAAGGAGTGCACTTATAAATACGTATTGTTATTTGAAGATTTTCGGTTAATTGTTATGTATTCCAGCAAGAAATGCCTGTCATTAAAAAAAAAATTTATTTGCATAAATTCAAGTAAAAAATAAGTAATATTTGAATGCGAGACAAAGAAAAATAATCCAGAACCAAGCTAGAAACGAAATATTGTCGATTGTTTTCTGTCGACTTTCTCACCATTCATCTTGAACTAAACTCCTTTTATTTTTTAACAGCTGCGCGGCTGTCTGTGTAATGGTTCCCTACAGCTTGAAAAATAACTATCAAAACATCAGGAATAGACCAACGGGAAAACCAAACGATAGCTCGTAAAGCAGAGAATATTTTTATCGTCTTGATCTAATTTCTGATAACCAGACATCATCAATGTTTAGATATAAAAATACTGGCACGAAGCGAGAGACGCAGGAAAAAAAACCCGGAGTCATAGCGAGTTGAGCCGCCAGGAATAAAAACATGTTTTTAAAAAACATATTTTTTGTTTATTGTGTCGAGGGAAAACGAGCCTACGATCAGAAAAAACACCAAGTTGAACAGTTATCGCTTTCTAATCGGTAAATGCCAGGTTATAGCAGTTTAAAACAATTTAACGACCATAGAAACACAAACGAAGGATCTATTATATATTCCAATGCTTTGTTTTTTAGCGGAAAATATATCACGTTGCAGCTTGGGCTGAAATGCGTCCTTTTAAAACCATAAAATAACCAAGACCTGTACGCTATATTGTCAAGATATAATACCATACTAAGATATAACATTTATAAAATATCAGTAAAGCATGATGTAACTTATCGCTCTGTAACTAAAAGAGTTTCTACAACGATCGGTCAGCATTCGCGGTCAAGAGTAAAAGTACGCGGTTATTTCTGAAATGATATATTTTGCAAAATATCCTTACCTGAACAAACGATTTCGATGTATTTAGATTAACAGAAGCAAGCGGAAACACTTTTAGACCTTTGTTGTTGCCCTTACCAAGCTCTTTGCTCTTTGCAGTGTACCAGTGACAGATGATATACAGTCCAGGAATACTTTAAGTAACCTTTGTTGAACTGTAGATTAAAGACAAAAGACCGCTCTTAGGTATCTCATTATTATTCCATATTTTCTTGGAAAACGAGTCCCCAGGCTGGGTTAACGAAATGGGGATTTTGAAAAATAAATTTAGGAATTTAGTTCATTTTATTATTAGGCCGTGGGATATGGGGAGGGGGGGGGGGGGGGTCATAAAAAATCCGTCGTAATTCAATAGGACATACCACAAAAAACATCGGGAATTCGTTTTTTTATTTCATTTTCATCAATAACCTGGCTGAAGTCATCTCTGAGGGAGCTACGGCTGCTTTGTATTCAGATAACACAAAGCTGTTTCGTAATTTACATCTGAAAACGACTGTGAGGACCTTCAACACGCACTGACAAACCTTCACGCGCGGACCTGAAGCAACAACATAAAATTTAACGGCAAATGTAAAACCTTGTCGATGACATGCAAGAAAAGTCCAACATCTTTTTGGGTACTATCTTGGGAAAGAAGAAATTCTTCAAACACAAAAGGAAAAAGATCTAGGAGTCTTCGTTAGACAGCTGACCTTGTTCACGAAGTCGTGTCACGGATAAATTAATACTATATTTATTTCAATTGATTTTATCTATTTGTTTTGTGCTTTCTCAAGGGAAGTGACTAGTATGGCAATCCGCGCTCTTCTTATTGCAATTGCGGGTAGACTGGCCCTTCACATTCATTTTTCTAATTGTTCTACTATCTTATGTAATACCTTATAAATAGGCATTACCCAATAAAGTCGTAAAATTAAAAAACTGAATGAAAACGGTTTCTAGCGAGCGCTGGCTTCGTGCGCGTGCGCGAGCGATTTGTTAGTTGTTGACGTAATTTGTTGGTATGTCCTTTTATTTACCACGGCTCTCGACCAATCAGAAAGTGAGATAATTTACATTTGTGATAAATTTAACAAATTTACGATGGTTGAGCGTGGTATGTCCTCTTATTTACCACGATATGACGTCAAAAGTTGGTCAAAATGTTATGGACTCACGAGGCGTAAGCCGAGTGGGTCCATAACTAATTTTGACCAACGTTTGGCGTCATATCGTGGTAAATAAGAGGACATACCACGCTAAACCATCGTAAATTTGTTTTTTACTACAAAACTCACAAAACTCTAGGAAATAGACTGCACGAAATCTTGCATGACGCCATTTGTTGGTATGGCCTCTTATTTACGACGTTTTTTAACCATTCAGCGCGCGAGAAAATTTACAATTGTGGTAAAAGATATAAATTTGTACCAGCACTGAGTACATGATCCAGCTCCAAAAAACTTCCTTTCTAATTGATTCTATAGGCTTAAAAACAGGATGAAATTTAGAACAAGTAAAAAGTTAAAAAGAATTAGACTAATCCCTTAAAAGCCACAAGCTTTCCTGTGTGTTAAGTGACTGGTCCATTAACAAAAATTTAATTGTCAGTAGGAATTAAGCTCGAGAGGGTTCCCGGAGAACCGCTAGAGGATTATCCTTTTGCGAAGAAATGGGCAAAAAGAAAACATATTCCGCGTTTTTTTCGGGACTAATAGTGAATGTTTTGAAGCTGTGTAGCCGGCCCAAAATGGAAAGAGGGAGGGGGTGGATTAGCTGTGGGAAGGGGGACATGAGGAGAGGATGCGGGGAACTAGCCCGGAGGGTCGTTTTCTGATGTGCTTCCTTCCTAAACGATTCTGGGTCTTTCTTGTGACAATCTTTATCGTATAGACCCCTTGCATGTGACGTCAAAGCAGCTCAATTTGGAGGACAAAACGAAAGAATTTCAATCTCCTGATAATTGGAAACCTATTGTTTTGTCCTCCAAATTGAGCTGCGTTTTGACATACTGCAAGGGGTTTATTCCGGGTTACACTTTTTGTTTTAAGGGTATTGTTTAACTCCAAATTCATTATCCGTGGCTATTGTTTTATTGTCTTCATGCTTCAGGTGCCTTGCATGCAAGTCATTATTTATCGCTGGAGGAGGGGAGGGGGGGCGGAGATCGGGGATTAAATAGACAACTGTAGGGGGATCAGCTTTACGCATATGGTATCAAAGAGGGATCCCTCAGTAGTAAAAAAGAATTATAAAGAAATAATGTCTCTTTGAGGTGATCAGTTGGAAGGATACCTAAAATCGCTAAAAAAAAAAGCTTAAAATCGAAAATACAAGACGGTAAGTACACTTCTTTTTATAAACTCGAAGTTTTATTTCCAAAATCTTAGCGAAACCTCACAAAAGTTTAGCAAAATCGAATTTACTAAATACATTTTCTCATAAAAGTGGAGAGCCTGGGTAACCTGTGGTTAATCTTTATGATGCTGCAACAAAAATCGTCCGAACGTTTTTTTCAATTTATATCTATCAGTAAGGAAAGTTCGCCAAAATTAAAAAGAGAAGAAAATCAGTTTTTATTCAGGCTGGTTCAAAGCTATATAAGAAATACAAAGAGGTTCTGAATGTGTGTGTGTGTGTGTGTGTGTGTGTGTGTGTGTGTGTGTGTGTGTGTGTGTGTGTCCGTGTGTCCATTGTGAACTCGTTATCATAAACTAAATTTTAATTCAATGTATTTAATATTCTTCTGATTTGATATTGTAAATATCTATATTCGTACTATTATCTTACTTTTTGTTTTCCTTCTATTTGTACTCCGTAAATCATTGTACAATATAATTAATAATTTTCATACATTGTGATCTCCCTAGATGAGCCGTTATGGCTCTTGGAGCTAACAATCAGAAAATATATGGTTAAATAAAAATAAGAATAAAAAAAAGGTAAGGAAAGTATAGGCCAATAACCTGACCGCTATGCCTTGATCACTTGTCAGTATTTGGTGCGTGTTTATAGATGATCATTACGCAGCATGAGTTTTTAATCTGGTCTTACTACCTGCCGAGCGAAAATCGTTTTTTTGTTATATAAATATACATATGTATAAATAGTCGTGCAAAGTCTAAATTTGGACTAGGAAGATATGAATGGATGTATTATCTGGAAATAGTACGATGTGATGGGGCGGAAGTGTTATTGGATTAGCTATAAATTTGAAGGATTGGCTTACGTCCTTTGACATATATAACGCAAAAATAGCTTAGTGAATAGGCCTTTTATGATGGGTAAATAAGTATTTTCAAAATGTTTGGTATTTTAGAACAAATCCCAAAATCATAGAGTAGTTTTTTTGCGTATATATAGGTCTAGAATCCACTTTTTATAATCATTTCCCTACTGAAGATAGCAATTGTATTGCTAAACATAGTTTTGAAAAAGTATATTTTTGGGGTGCAACCCAAAATAACAATGAAACAGCGCCATGTTGGTAGATCTAAAAACAGAAGCTAATTAGGAATGCTTTGTTAATATGACGGCTATGGCGTAACATGCAACCCAAGAACTGAGTTCTTATCAGGTCGCAATATGCGTGCGTAAAACTCTCATCGAGGAGCAAACAAAGCAGTACTTTTCTAACTTTGAGTATTTTCAAATTTATCGGCAATGTTGGTTTCAATCTTGTTGGAGGAGCTATGGGAGGGGCACCCCCAATATGGCGTCATTTGGGGAGGGATGGTCAGTTGGACTTTGACCTTACGTCTATCACAGTGAGGGGAGGGGAGGGGTATCTTTCAGAATGTGTGACTAGATGACATCCCTCACAGAATAACACCACCCCCCTCCATAACAGATATGGAGGAGGTGGTCTTGGCAGTGGAGAGCACTAGTATTTGATTTTTTTCCTCCTAGCCAGAGAGATAGATAAATTCAGTTATTGAACATCAAGGCAGTTGCTGGGGTCTTAACTACTTCTAATCCCACTCTGGGACTAATTAATTAATAATCTGACCTACAAAAGCCCTTTTTATTAATTATCTGCCGGAGACTCTCGAGATCGAGGGTTTTTCTACGTGTTCTCTGGTTTTGTTTTCTCTACAAATAAATCTAACACGCTAAATTCCAATTCAATATGTGCAGCCATGCCCCGACTGTCACGATCAAGAAGTTGAAAGTTTGTAATCTTCAAAGATTCAATAATGTTGAATTACTCAACTCTTAGCCACTTATTGCTATGAATGATATAAAAATCTACACCAAGGCAAAAGTTAACGTGAAATCTAATTGTCTGTCCCCTCCCCCTCCCCCCTATGAAGCCCCTGGGGCTCAGCATTGATAGGTATATAATCACATTAATCGCGGTGTCGCGCGGCACAACTACTACCAGAATCCTTTGCACACTGTCTCTACGGTCATGAAGCATCTAACCACCGGAAAAACTTTTTCTTTTAATTGGGATTAAAAAGCATTATGGCGAAAGTAGCTAATGATCAGATAATGTTAATGATAATGAATTCATGACGCAAACGACAATATTTCGTGATTATAGCACAGGCAAAATAGTGGCACGAATATCTAACATAAGTAAATAAATTTAATTTTTTACTGTGAATTAACAGGAATTAAGGTTTTTGAAACAAACATTGTTTATACTTCTCTAAAGTTATAGACCCTAAGGGGACATGTTTCATCAACTTTCGTTCCGTGCGCGTCGAGCCCTGCCGTGACAAAGAAATGAAAACCTCGTGCACTTGAACATGCATGTCGATACACGAAAAGTTGAGAACAAATTTCAGTCGTACTTCCGCAGGAAATAAGGGATATAGCACTGATGCGGGAAGTTTTAGAAATGATACGACAACCTTCAGTGCTGGATTCAACGTCTTAAACTGAAGACAGGAAGCAACATATGCTGTAAAATAGTGCCTTTTATTCTGAAGTAAGAAGACGACGATGTTTAAAAAAGACTTAATGCTTTTTAAAAATAACAAGTGCTGTGATTTTACTGAACTTTAATTCACCACAGCAAGCCAAATGTTTCTTGATTCATAGATTGTTGGATATTTTTCCTTGGGCTCTTTTTTATTTCAGGTTTTGATAGATTATATTATCTATCGCGCAAAAACCTTATCCATTCAAAATCAAGGTCCGATCCTGCGAGGGAGGAGGGGGAGGAAAGAAAATGTGACCGGAAGTACGTCATCATTACTTTAACGGGTAACATTTCACTTGACCTTCAAGAAAGCTGAATCATCGCTCATGTTACGTCCATATTTCACAGGTTTTCTTTCGTCATTGTGTCGACAAAAAAGATGTGAGGTTTTGAAGGAAATTTATAAACCTGAAGACGTCGGCATCAAACGATAATTTGCTTATTTTTTGCGATTGCGTTGCTGCAGTTTTATTCTCACAATCCAACACTGCAGCAACGCTGGCTGGGACGCTGATAGATTTGACTCGAGTCAGCGTGTTTGAAATTATTTAGACATTTTGTTGGAAAAAAAAAAGATTAATCCAATATGTTTTCCTATTAAATTTGCAAATATTACGTGTTCTTATTTTAAAGCATGACTAATGATGCCGATACCTTGTTACGATGTGATTACTTCACCGTACTAGATCCGGTCCTTAGTCAGTACTCATCCTTGCAAGTCGACCAGTCATCGATAAACGTTCATTTTTATGGAAACAGAAACAGAATAGGATAGAAAAGGACAACTTGGTCTTTTGGAAACTTTCGACAACCAGATTTCTATCACTTAACATGTTGATGGGAAACTTCCCTTTTGGTAAGCAAGCAGGCAAACCTGCTTCCTCTTTCTCACGGCTTGTCAAAAAGTGCGCACTTTAACCACTTCCTGTCGGGAAGGAAATAGAAGTTAGGGACGGTTAGTCATATAGTCCGGTACCTTTACGCAAGCCTTTACAGATATGCATGGGTACATTTATCGATGTATGATCCTCAGCATGCAGCAATTTAGAAATCAATGGAAAATTGCGTAAAACGGCCATGTGATTAGCTGCGTAATCTTCACAAGTTTGCCTTGTGACACTATGTTGAAGAGATCCGAGTTTAAAGAATTGTGAGATTCCGCGTTAAACCGCTGGTCAGTGTAGTGACACGAATGACTAACAGGTGCGAGGGCGGGCACCGATCACTCATCATCCTGTAAGGGAAATATGATTCGTATGACGTGGTTTGTGGAATATGAATACTGACTCAGCACCACAGAAAAGACCGTCAGGTTCAGGTGTGAACACACAGTTGATTGAGCACCGCACAGGAGATAGGGATTATTATATATAATTAAGCAAGAATACTGGAATCAATTATTAAGTCTTTTCATTCAACATGGACGATCTATTCAGGACTGTCCCAGAGCAGGCTATCCCGGTGGAAGCGCAAATCGTTGGTGAAGTTCCAAAATGGATAAAAGGATGCTTACTTCGCAACGGACCGGCAATGTACGAAATTGGAAAAGATGCTTATAATCATTGGTTTGATGGTCTTGGGATGCTACATAGCTACTGTATAGAAGATGGCAAAGTCACATACACAAGTCGCCACTTGCGAAGCCAGGCTTTTCTCAGAGGACAAGAGAAAAGAGGGATAGCAATGGCAGAATTTGGTACTCCGGTTCCACCAGATCCGTGCAAGAATATTTTCGCTCGCTTCTTCTCCCTTTTCGTCCCGCCTGAAAGAACTGACAATTGTTCTGTAAGCGTGATGAACATGAAAGGCAAGGTTTATGCTGGCAGCGACTCGCCGTATTTTTTTGGCTTCGATTCCCATACTCTTCAAACCTATCAGTCTTATAACCTCAGAAAGGATTGTGGCGGTGAGTGAATTATATTTTGATTACGTTTTGATTATGTTTGGTCTTGACATGTTTGTAATCATACCGTAATAATGTAATATTGAAGAGTTATACAAACAACTCTCATTACTTTAGACTACTGTTTTCAACTGAACACCAAACGAGGCTCCTTTATTTTGAATTTGTTGATAAAAATTTAGGTCATTTTATAATTTATTTATCTTTGTCAAGAAAATACGCTATACATACATTTATGTAACTCTATTTACGAACAACAGGTCTGAACAGATTCTGATTTCGACACGTAGAGACAAGAGCTCACCTACCTAGGTGAAGTCAAAAGGCGTACGCGTATTGACAGTCGACACTATCAGTATCAAAAATTCTAAACGGTATTCTGTGGAAAAACGGAACTCTAGGTAATCGCAGCCACGCCGGTCAAGTTCGTTTCTAAAATCATTATATAAGAGGGATAATTAAATTCAAGTCAAGAGAAGCTAACTATTAAATATGGTTAAAATGTACGACAAAGCACGCGCAGGTTCTGCTCTCTGTGAAATTAATTTGACGGCTTTTTGCAAAATAAGCATTCTTCATGATACAATTCAATGCCCCTTCAAGACGATTTTTCTATCCTGGAGTGTGAACTACACCAACTTGCAAGAACGTTGACATACGAAAATAGAACATTAGTGATTTAGTGGGATAGGAATCATATTAAAAAACAAAAGAAGATCACTGAAGCTGAACTTTTTCCTTTGTCTTTTAATGTATTCCTTTCTCACTAAATTACTAATGTTCTATTTTCGTATGTCAACGTTCTTGCAAGTAGGTGTATATCGCGATACTAAGTAAGGAAGACCTAGTTTTGTCTACTGACGCAAGAACGACTGGTATAAACAACGACAGTTTGCAAACCCCTTTTTAGGCAAAACTAAACTTTTGTCGAACCGCAAAGTGCTATATCATAGGCGGCGCTTCCGCCAGTCGTTAATTTTAGGAAGATCGTAACTGGGAGTAAATTAGGTATATCAGTACGGACTTTGCTACGGATGCTAAACCAAGGTGAATATATTTTAGAGCCTAGTAATTATAATATTATTGTTAATCAAGTGTGATTGTCTCTCAATGGAACATGCGCAATAGAAAAATCTAATTATAGATTATTATCATTCAGAAGGCATACGTCGACGCAGCAACTACAATTTTCACGCATTCAATTTGGGTTAATATCGTAGTTTGAGATCGTTTTTGGGTCAGTTATGAAAATGTACCTCTTGAGATTTGTCTCGCTGTGTCTCACTTAACCTTTACACATTCAATCCTGATTTTTAATTGATAATATACTGATATGTATTATTGTAAGGGGCATCGAGCTGCGAGGAAAGTTTCCTTGGACATAACCTTCAAGGGTACGTGTACATCACGTGGCAGAGTTCTTTGGCGCTACGCCCATTCAAATTTAACAATGAGGTTTTAAGTATCTAGGCTTGTATTTCGCTAACGACACCGATTATTTTCATGTAATGATGTTACGGATCGAATAAAGTCAATTAGAAGATGAAAGCTTTAACCTATATATTATTTAAAGGACAACTGACCCTCCAAAATGACCCATTTTTAAGAGGAACTACATCATTTGAGAAGTCCAAAAATCCAGTTTTTAAAGGGGATAGAGCATCCATTTTTCTAAAACAATTTTTTGAAAACATCGCATATATCGCTCTGGTGGCCGCCATCTTGCGCTTTTATCGCGGG